ATTTTTCAGGGTATTGATCGTTCGACAAAATTTCTCATGGACTGGAGGGAAATATAATTATCTTGTTATTACAGTAAACAATCGATTACTTACAAAGGGTACGACTTGTTGCCCGTTGTACTGTTGCAAAAGTAACCAGGGAGAAGAAATCTCTTCTTGGTCCTTTACTACCTATGTACCAGCACGAAGTTTAGTTATCCGTGCGTTACTGAAGATTTATTATTACTAGTGCCGGTGGATTTGTGTGTAAGTTTGATTTCCTTGGTCCGGACAAACCTTTACTCTCTTCACTTTCATGTCCATAAACACAAGTTGTACCATTCTTCATCTTTCATGTCCATAAACCAATTGTACATTCTTCATCTTTCATGTCTCATAAACTCAAGTGTACATTCCTTCATCTTTCATGTCAATAAACACAAGTTGTACATTCTTCTCCTTTCATGTCCATAAACACAAGTTGGTACATTCTTCATCGTTCCATGTCATAAACTCAAGGTTGTACATCTTCATCTTTAATGTCCATAAACTCAATTGTAATTCTTCATCTTTCATGTCCATAAACACAAGTTGTACATTCTTCATCTTTCATGTCCAAAACTCCAAGTTGTACATTCTTCATCTTTCAAGTCCATAAACACAAGTTTACATTCTCCATCTTTCAAGTCCATAAACACAAGTTGTACATTCTTCGATCTTTTCATGTCACAACACAAGTTGTACATTCTTCATCTTTATGTCCATAAACTCAAGATTTTAAAAAAAATATTCTGGGTCGTACGGTTTGTAAGTAATCGATTGTTACTGTAATAACAGAGATAATTATATTTCCCCCCAGTCAATGAGAAATTTTGTCGACGATCAATACCCATGAAAAATGACTATGTAAAAGTTTCGGAGAAATGAAAATGACTCAATTTCTTCAAAACAGTCTGAAGATGAAGTGGTCTCAAAAAATTTGTGCTCATCAAGACGAGAAGATGAACTCCTTTCCTACACATGAAGACGGAAGAGACGTTCCCTCTACTCTATCGTCGTCGATAGACACTCGTACCGGTCGAGCATTAACTCTGCACCTGAAGGGGAAGGAGGTCACCAAACTAACGACTGTCGGAGAGTCCCTAAAATCGAGAATGTCTACAAAAGTGTGAGAGTTGTGCTCGGGTGTCTGCGTGTGCAGCCGAAAGTTCACACTGAAGTCAACATCCCTCTCGCTCCTGCTGTACGCAAACTTCAGATACTGTACACCTCTTCTGTGCCGTAGCTCGAAACCCAAAGCCCCCGAATTACTCACCACTCACACAATATGCTGTGTCGGTTGTCCCTCCTCCTAGCGTCTAATTTTCTCAAAGAATTTGGTTTTACTGCGAGTTGATGCCCTTCTTTAAGTAATGCTCGGTTCTAAAGACATAATGTCGTATAGGCGGTCTCTTGTAGACTTTGTACGTGGCCAACCTCTATCTATCGAGTTGTGAAATTTAACAGAGCTGGTCACAAAGTTTTACTCCGTGCCATATAAAAAAAAATGTATTTTTGTAGGGCGCCGTGTGGTTGTTTGGTTTTTTCAATGTTTTCTGGGTTACAATCGGATTTAGATATATGGATATAATATGAAACTAGCAAAACTAACCTGTTCACAGAGTTCAACCGATGCTCAAGTCGAGGACTTAACGATCGAACTCTCGCTGGGAGTTGAGTGAATTCAATGAATCCAAACAAATTGCGTCCACTTTTATTATTTCAAAGCCTCTTTACTTTGACTTGAGTCAAGAAGTTTAGTCAGAGCTTCTACTTTCACCAGAAGTAAGTATCTGTACTTCTGCTTGAGTAAAGGATGTATGTACTTTTGACATCTCTGGATATCTGCCGCTATCTCTCTCCCTGCTTGTGTTTATGTGATAGAGTCAGAGCGGTAGAAACATCATTTGTTGTGCTGTGTCTCCTCCAGAGAGAGACACTCTCCTGCCTGTTCTCTTAACTTTATTCCTCCTGCCTTTATTTATCCAGAGTTGGTTGACTGAGCACACTTCGCTGCTCTTATTTCTGCCATTCCTCGCTTCACGCTGATTCAGTCAAATGCATTTATAGCCGGCAGTTGCTCCGGATATAAGCAGCCCTGAACTGTTTGCCACCGAGCAGATTTACAGAAGTTATTTAAGGAGTGGGTGTGCTCACTTTTGCAGACTGTAGCCTATAGGGATGCACCAATGCTGACTTTATTAAGCAAATCATGCATCAGCCAGACATTAGCAGTCAATTTAGAAACCAACATACACAAGTTTTACAGTCAGAAAAGAGCAAATAATCATCAATACATACACAAACCCTATATTCTTGCAAGAACACAGAATAACTAATAAAGGGAAAACCGTCGTTATCTTGATTTTCTGATTTGCTTACCACTTTGAAACAGTTTCATTATTATTTCCTTAAATCAGTCAATCCATGTTATTGGTCTCAAACAATCTTATGAAGTACAATTCCAGTCAAATGTATTGAAACCAGTTTATTTATAGTATAATAATAATAATAATAATAATAATAGATGACATCTGTATAGCGCCTTTCAAGGGACCTAAGGCCGCTTTGGTGAACAAACAAACAAACAAACAAACGAGCAAATAATAAGTCAAAACAAAAAGAAATGATATAAAAAGCAGTAGGAGTGGAAGCCAGTGATGGGTTAGGGGTCAAAGGAATAATAAGTGTAAATGCTTTACTCACTGGGTTGACTATAGAGAGGCGAAGTCCCGCCCTTCTACTTCCGACCCATGGGACCTTATTTCGGAAAAATTATGTATTGAAGTCAATGGAGAGAGAAAGATTATCTCTCGATCCCGTTTGAATTGTTCCACGAATTACACATATGATGTTTGTCAAATTAAAAGATAATTTTGCAAGTTAAAAAAAATTAAATATGTCGTAATACTGTGAAGTAACACTTTTTTTGTTGTTGTGTGAAACCGCTCAATGAGCTACATCTCCCGTCTCGCACCACACACCAAGACGGCCGTCACGTTGGCACATTTCACTTCTTTCTTTCAGAATGAGGCANCACAGTGAGAAAAATAAAGACCTTTTTGAACATGAAAGCATGGAGACATGTCCCAGTAGAGCAGGGGTGCCCAACCAGTCGATCGCGAGATGTGTCTAAAAATAGAACAACAATATTCAGTTTTATCGTTAATGTCCTATAACATAATCTTCCTGTGCCAGAATAATGCACTTGAACGCATCAAAGCTTTATGATTGGCGTGACCCCATGTGTCGGGGCGTGGCTGGTGGGCAGTGGGCACTAGTTAGCTGACGTTGTCCGTCAACAGGAGTGACAGTCCACACACACACAAGACCGCAATTTTGGCAGAAGCAAAAAAAGCCCAAAATATATCATTTTCACTCCGAGTGAGAGGATGATTATTTTGTTGTCTATTCTCATCTGCAATGCGAGCGTGGCTTTACCGAAGAAGGGTAATTTAGAGCGGCATTTCAAAACAGTGCACAAACGCTACGAGACGGAATTCCCTCCTAATTCTGCCCTACGCTCTTCTGTTCGTTGCGTGCATGTGTAACAGAGTTAAACATGTGAATACATAATTATAAGTTTGTGAATGTTTAATTCATAATAAGTTGTGAATTTTAAGAGATGAGATTGTTTCATTTAATATGTTAAGTTTTGTTTCCCGTGGGAACATCTTCCCGTTGCACATCTTTGTGTACTTCCGGTATGTATTTTCCACCCTCCGCGGACTGGCCATCTGTAGAATCTGGAGAATCACAGAACGCTCTATTTGGACTGGTAGATCTCGGCAGACTGGCAACTTTAGAAGTAGCTCTTGGTTCAAAAAAGGTCGGGCACCCCTGCAGTAGAGGAACAAAATAATAATATCAACCTGAAAATGAGCAGAATATGGCCCCTTTAATGTGTGTTTAGCTTTTTTTTTTAATCCATTGGTTAGTTTCAAGCAGGTGGTAAAAGAGACAAAGATAAAACACTTTATGTATGTAATATGGTTTCAACCTTCCTGAAAGTATTCAGCTACAAGAGTTACTCTGGATCTACACACGCTTATTACTATCTCTTTCACTGTCATGCACCCAAGATACTCAGCATGTGTGTGTGTGTGTGTGTTCAGAGAGCATTAACCTGCTCGTCTCGGGCACTACGATAAGGACTGTAGAACCAGGCTGTTACTGAAAGACCAAACAGAGAAAAGCAAGCAAACAAGGAGTGTGTGTGAGCTTTAGAGAGGAGCTGCATGGATCCTCAGTGTGACTTGTTATTGTCATGGACAGAGCTGCCTGGATGCTGAGGTTAAAGCCAGTTTCATGTACCACTGGAAGAACAAACCAAAGGCACAGAGCTGGGGGGAAACACTCTCCTATGCTTGCACAGTATCTGAATGTTTACTCAGCAGCAGCAGTACAGTGTGTTCACCCTGCAGATACTTGTTATAGTGGAGAGGAAGGGATCTGAAGCTGATGCTCCTCTAGGCCTCTGCTGTGCCCCAGGTGGCGGGGACAATACCGTGCAAATGACATGTGGACCGCTGGAGAGGTGCACAGTGTTTCTGCTGATCCTTAGAATCAATATACTTGCTTTTGCCAGGAGCCTGAGGAGAATTGGAAACATACATGTCTGCACCCTTTGTACCTGGATGTTTAAAAAGCCGATTTGATGCAGTTTTGCAAGTAAATGCTGAAACATGAAGAGGTTAATAACAGGCTAGGAAAATAATGTAGAATGTGAAATGGGATACGTTTTCAGGATACAAACTAAATGTAAATGTATTTGCTTACAGTTACATAAAAAAAGAGGAAATCAGATTACTGTTATATTACAAAAACATTGGGATAACTAGCAGGATTCCAATGTTAGTAAAAAACTAAAAAGAGCATTGTGTTTGTTTTAAAGGATCAGATGTTATCTCTTCTCTGTAAGCTGCACTGTTCTGTAGGCTGATACTTTAAGTGTGAATCTATACTTCTACTGCCTGCACCTGCTTCATGGTTTGAATGATATGCTGATCCCACTACTACACTTATCCCTCAGGCTGAATTGCATCGAGCGATCACAACATTGATTTATCAACAGATGCAACGCAGGATGCACCATCATGCTCACACACACACACACACACACACACACACACACACACACACACACACACACACACACACACACACACACACACACACAGATGTGTTTTAAAGAGTTGTAACCTCCATGGTTGATCAGAGAGATCAGAGCTTGCTCCAGTACGCTCCACAGCAGAAATTATGTGGTGTTTGAGGATAGGATGCTGAACCATTTGAGGACATACAATGTAGCAGTGGCGAGCCGTCAGGGCCCTCTAGGCCCTCTGTGAGGGCCTAAGATATTCTAAAAAATAATATTTGAAAACATAAAAATTAATTAAATATTATTTTTTATATTTTGTTGTTGTTACATTTTTCATTAGTTTTACCAAAAATAACTTGATTTAATTGTATTTAAAATAACATTTCCAAATAAATAAATCCTTCGAATCTGCCTGTTCAGTTTCTGTTGGAATGTGAATCGTATGCCGTCTCTGCGAGTACTGTGAAGACGGGAGGGCTTGTTGGTCCCTCTCTACATTCACAGAGGGCCCGCTATAGAGAGCCGCAGTGACGCGTCCTTAAACCCGGAAGTAAACTTCTTCCGGTTCCTTCGTCTAAAACGCAATGCAATTTCTCCATAGGATTTTGGAAAATAGCTCGAAATAAGGTCTGTGG